TCTTTTGTACACTTAATACTTCAGTTAAAAATGCATTGTACTGATTCACTACTTACAAGTATTCACTCAAGTTATGCCTAGAGTAATCTTTAGGATAAAAATATCTTATAATAATTCTCAAAGGCTTTAATATTTGTACAGTGTCTAATTATATGAATGAATAATTTGGAGGAAGACTGATTCTACCCTTCTCATCTTTTATGCTCCCACATATTTTCTGTCCTTAACCCAATTACCAATACATGTTCAACCATTCTTTCACTATTTCTCTTTTATTAAACCACTCTCTATAGTAATACATACTTCATTTATCCAACCTTATTAAGAACCAGCTGTTCCTAAGAGAGTTTTCAAGACAAGTGAAATTTATTCGTAAAATAGTTTGTAAAAATAGATTATACACATCTCTACTATTTTTAAACAAAACATCTGTTTCTTGATATAATTTTGGTCCAATTATTTTATTCCGGGACTACAAAAATGTATTACAGGGATATCTGGGTCCAAATGAAGTGGACTTGGGCAGCTGCACTTTTAGAGTCCTTCTGTTAATGACTTAGAGCTTTTATGGCCTTGTCCTTGACTTCATTTTGTATGCGGCCACTGCTTAATGGGGCTCTGACTTCTTGAAGCAATAACTACCCTCTTTTTAACTGCTGCTAGGGTTGACTGTGGTTCGAGAAGCCAGGCATCTATGTTTGTTAGAACTATTAAAAAAAAAAAAAACTGGACTGTTTGTGGATGGAGAACTGAAGAAGTAATGAGGCGGAGAGAGAGAATTAGATGATTTTGACAGTCTGGGCCTAGGCTGGCTTACTTTCAGGCTCCGGGCTGTGTTTTTGACGGCTAAGATTGCTACATAAAATCCCTCGGAGCGAGTGATTTTCTATCTCTTCACATGCTAACTTATCAAGTGTATTCACACGCAGCTGTTTTTTTGGACAGGTGAGTTTGTTTACAGTTCAAGTGATACATGTCTATGTGTATAGAAAAATCATTAAAAAAAACTGGTCACCAAAAAGACAAAGAAAAGTTTATTGCACCAACACAGGAGCCATATAATAATGTTTCTACTTGTCCATTGATTTATGTACGAAATGTAGAACATTTTACAAATGTAGAAAATTATTAAAACAACAACAGTCACTAAAAGAAAATGAGAAGCCTACTTCACAAAATACAGAAACTATAACAGTGACAGCCTGTTAAAAACTCACTTTTAATGGTCAAGTATATATTAATTCATATAGATTATTTGTTTAAATAATCTCTGCCCCTTAAGTTCCATTAAGGGTTCTAATAAAAGAATAATGGAATAGGAACTTATTCAATTTTGCAGATGTTAAAAACCACTATAGATCTAAACAGAACTGTGTACTTTCTTCTTTCCAAGTATTTTCATATTTTATAGTAGCTTTTTACAATAGCAGATTATAAAAAACATCTGTGTTTAGCTAATAAACCTAGATTTCTCCAAACACATAATTCTGATAAGATCTAACAAGAAAGAAAAGAAGTAAGGAAGGAAGGAAGGAAGGAAATAAGAAAGAGAGAGACATCTTTTATATGCATGGCAATATTTTCGTCAGGCCAAAGATAAAAAGCATATTCTAATTTGCATACCTTTAATAAAAGTGTTCTAATTATAGCCTATTCTACTTACCTGTGACTTCTCCAAAGGAAAAATTCAACTCCAGGTTGGCTGGCTGTGAAGTGGAAGACCTCTATCCCTATAATCTTCCTGGTAGTTAGTATGTGTTTTCAGAAATTCCAAGCTATGTTTATTATGTGTTTATTAAAATAACAGAGGAAAGAATATAATGTTCAAAATACAATCAGATTACCTGCTGCTTTGGATTCCCTTTACCAATGTTCCCTTTTATTAGGATAGATAAATGGGAATTAGGTTTGGTCAAGCCTTTCTGTGTAAGGTTGTATTATGAGAACTCCCAAAAACAATTTTTAAAAAAATGGACATGGGACCAGAGATAACAATCCAAAATGAAATTCGTCCAGTCTCCAGCAAAATTTGTCTTAGAGTCTAAAAAAACAACTCAGGTATTTTTCTTAAGACTAATTTTGAATGCTCATTTTGCCCTAAGCTTTATTTGCTTTTTGCAACAGCACCTAAGAGAAAACAAACTGACCATTTACAACCTAAACAATGGCTTTACAGTATGATTAAGAAATGCACCTGGCTTCACTCAAACAACAAATTTGTTTAACCTGGTGACTTTCCTGTGTCTGGGGTCAGGCAGGAGCAGTCTTGGTTGGGGGGAAGGAAAGGAGAGCAAATATAACTGACTCACTGAGAACAAAACGGTGGTACTAACGTCCCTTTGTAATGACAACTGTTTTAACAGTTTCTTGTAGGCAAGGCTATCATTTAAGTGACCCACTATAATTTGGGATGAAGCCCCAGGAAATTATGCCACCTCTAGAACAGGAGTTGCATTTCTGAGTTTACTCAGCATAATGAACCCACTGAAATGCTGAGTATTCCTTCTTTGGTACAAATTTACATCAAAGGAAAAATGAACAACTGAAAAGATTTAGCTGGAGAGGAAAAGAATATCACAACATTCGCTCCGGGGAGCAGACCAGAGTTTAGTTTACTTCTTGCATCATTTTTACTATGGAAAATTTCAGTCATATAAAAAAATACACAGAGTAGAATGATGAACCCCTACAAACCAACAATTCAGTTTCAATAATCATCAACACCTGGCCAACCTTATTTTACTGTGCCCTACCCACGTTCCTCCTTTGATTCTTTTTTAAAGCAAATCCCAGACAGCCTATACTTTATTTTATATAAGCTTTTATTTATGACATATGTATATATTTAACCTGAAGATCACTCCAGAATCTCACTGAGCACGAGATGTTTAAACCAACTTTAACCACATCTTACAACACGTTTTACACTAACGTTTTTTCTGCCTAGAGAACGAATTTGTTCGAATATAACTGGGTAATTAAAAAAGACAAAGTAACTTGAATCACAACCTTCTATTATTTTATTTATGGGGAAAAAAGGAACATTCTAATATTGAGAAAACGGTGCACGTGACTTAACCCCTGTGATTCTAGTCTTTGTGGAAACTGACCAACAAGAGACACAGTTAAAAGCAACACGGTTACACTTGCCTGGTTGGAGCTTAGAAAATCCGGAGGAGGCAGTAAGGGACGGACGGGAGCCAGAAGGAAAACTCTCCCCTTTCCCTTCACTACACGTACAGAGTAAGACAGAACACCCACAGGCTGAACCTTGGGGGCTTCAAAACCCACTCATCAAGCAGTCCAGCTACTGCACAGTAATTTATGACCGATCTTAAAGCAAAGATCAAAAGGAACTCCATCTAGCATTCTATATTCAGTTCCTCACTGCCTGATGACTAATTTGTAGAGGAATGAAGTCTTCACAAGGGAAGCCAAAATCATCTGAGGTGACTTTGATACAGTGCCACAAGGGATACGAAGAGGAAGCTGGGAGAAGCTGTGAATGGCCAAGTTCCATTAAGAGTTCTAATAAAAGAATAATGGAATTTCCCTTAACTGGGAATTAAAAAAATGTTCGAAGTGGGCAAAATTTAGACAAGTCAGGCAAAACCTTTGATTTGTCGTAGCCTCTTGTTGTTGCTGTTGTTAAATGTTAACTTCAGCCACTGTTGCATTTATGTTTATTAAGTGGCATCGTCTAAAAAAAAAAAAGCAACTTCCCCATCAGAAATCTGGCCAGTCTCATTCCTTTTGCTCTTGTACTACTTATCAGCCTGCACCTTCCGCCTGCGTTGTCAGACACGCCTGGCTCGCTCAATCGCTTTCAAACAAATTGCCATATTCTGCAAAGTGACTGATTTAACTTGAAAAATGTAACTTGAAATGATAAAATTTTTAGTCTTGTATATCGCCGCGGTCACGTGGAATATAAACACCTCTTCTGACAAATTTCTGATGCTTAAGTCAACTGTTCACTATAGAAACACTAGAAGCTATTCAAATTCTTTCAACTTCTATGAACAACTGGCACAATTTTTTCCTCCTGAATCCAGACATTTCTGTGTTCTCAAATGAGGAGAGTAGTTTTCACACTACTTATTTTGGCTAGTTAAAAAATCCTTACCACATGTCTCCTTGTAGATTCATAGATAAAGATTTAAGTTTATATTAGCATTTCAACTGTGCGAATGTTTTGTTTGCTTCTGAAATCACCTCGAATTAACAGATTTACTGGAACCTTATATGATATAGAAGTTTTGTACAAGTCTCAGAATACTTTAATGTATTCCCCCCCCCCCATGAAGATGTGGTGTTGAGCGTTTTCTTTAAAAGTTACGTTTTTTTTTTTTTAAAGAGAACTTATCTTTTACAAATATATGGTGAAATACTTATAAATGAAGAGATGTTTGAGAATTCTTCAAATATAGGAAGTGGAGAGTGTGGGTATAAGTGAAACAAGACTGGACATGGGTCTATGAAACTATGGGATGGGGATGCAGGGGTTATTACACTACTCGGTCTTCTGTGCAGCAAAACTCTCGGGAGTGAATATTTCAGTTATGACTCTCGGCACTGCTTTTTGTTAGGATTTTTATTTAGAAACATAAGTTTCTGTCAGAAGCAATGGAGAACCAACATTTGGCAGATAATATTTCAACTGTCTCTACCAATTCCAAAGCCAGGTTCGTCTACTACACTGTTTGGAAAGAAAAAACCCACCAATCAAAAAACACCCCCCAAATCTGTCTTTTCACAGTCTTTGAGATTTCAGTGATGGTATGTAACTAGATTTTAATATGCATAAAATAGAATTATTTTAGTTCAGAAATACAGATCTTCTCTTTTCTTTACAAGAGATAAAGAGTTAAAAAATTAAAACTGAAATATAAATGTAATTGGTAACTGTAGTTCAAAATCACTATATACTGGTGAAAAGTGTGCTATACATTCAGAAGGACTTCTACTACCCAGGAACACTAATAACATTCTTCTCTTACCTTGTGATCATATGGATTGTAAGAATGAAATACTTGAGAAAGATCTTTTGTTCTTTGCTTTTTCTGTGGAAGAAAACACAAACATGTGAGTACGCTGATGGAAAAAATATACACATGTGTATCTGTCTATCTGTATGTATGTATCTGCTTTACAACATTGTTTATTTAGAGATTCCTCCTTTGTGCAAGCTGAGGGGCTACACTGTCAACCTGGGACAAATGGATATAACCAGAAACCAATGCCACTTGATGCCTATGTGGATCACTGTCACAGACCAGTCAGGCAACCTCTTTCTAGAAGGTTCCATAATTAAAAGTCTATTTATAATAAATGTACAATTCAGAGACTAAAATGAAGAAGAAACTATGAAAAGAAAGAAAAATATATTTAGGACACTTTCAATTTCATTGCAATACCAACTTCAGTTACTCTGAGTTAGGCAATAGCATGCATCCATTTAAACAAGCAATATGCCTACTTCAGGGTTCCTGGTCACAGCCTGGGTCTGTCTGCTGGAGCCTGCAGCTGTGAGGCTATCTTTGCTCTGTCACTGCTATATAGTGACACAGATAAGTATATATGGCACTGTTATATATATGGTGTCTCACACACAGTAGGCCCTCAATAAATATTTGCTAAACTAATGAATAAATGAATATACCTGAGTTAGGCATAAAACTATTGTATCGGTAATGATGACATGTAAGTCTCATCCACAGTTATGAACAGAGAAGCCTCTCTTCACTTCCAATGATGTTGTCGTCATTAGAAGAAGCCGGGCTTCTCCACCTCCTGTTCCTCAGTGTCTGTGACAATGGAGAAGTGTGCGGTTCTCCTATGAGAGTCGACTATAAGAACCAGCTTGTTTACTAATCCACTGTGATCTGTCCACCCCCCCACAGCCACCATGAGCAATTCTGTGGATGGTTCCAGACCTTCTGTGCGTATATCTTCACACACAATTGATTACTATTACTTCCAAAGAAAAGGAATCATTCCGTATACACTGTTCTGAAATTTACTTTTTTCCTCTTCACAATTTATCCTTGCCAAACTTAAATGCTTATATATCCAGCTCTGCAATCCCTGAGACAGAGTTATGAAATCCAAAAACTTCTGAAATCTGAACTTCTTTCCTGCAATGCATTTCAGTTTATAAATATAATGATAATCTTTGCACAAACATCTTTGCCAGCTTGAGTGTGTGTATTTTTTTAAAAAAAGATAAATTATGGAAGTCAGGTTGCAGGATCAAGTGGAATGCATGTTTATTACCTTGACAGAAACTGTCAAGCTGCCCCCTCCCCCAAACGCTAGACCAGTGTGTCCTCTCATGAAGAGTGAAAGAGAAGAAGGGATTGTGGCTTAGGTTGGAAATTCTTAATTTCTCTTATACGTTTAAAGGTGAGAACATTTTTAAATTTAGAAAATAGATATTTTAAAAACAGATACTGAACATCATCCCAGCTGTTGATTATAGAATTTATTTCTTGGGCTTCCCTGGTGGTGCAGTGGTTGGGAGTCCGCCTGCCGGTGCAGGGGATGCGGGTTCGTGCCCCGGTCTGGGGGGATCTCATGTGCCGTGGAGCGGCTGGGCCCGTGAGCCATGACCGCTGGGCCTGCGCGTCCGGAGCCTGTGCTCCGCGACGGTGAGGGGCCCGCGTACCGCAAAAAAAAAAAAAAAAAAAAA